TTTGATGTCTGTCGGCGTGCTGATATTTCCGTGAAGAAAGAAACGTTAGTGAGCTTTTTAACGGACCAGCTAGATGAAAGATTTGCACTCATACCGGTTGACATTTTGATATTTAGATGGGTAAAAGGGAAGCATGCTTGTGTGGATCTTATTGGGATCTCTCTTTTTGTCGGTTTGAGGAGCGAAAGTTTCACAACAGGGCATGCCGCTTTGAAAGCCGATGTATGCAAAGTGGCAAAAAATGATATTGCATGCATAGAAAATCAACATGTGTTTATACTTTTTGCATTGGATACTTTTGGTTTTTTCGCAGCAGAGACGGCGAAACTCAATGGAGTCAAACGAATTATGCATCATAATGTTATATGTTCTAGAATTTAGAACCATAAATGTTTTCAAAAAAATTAGTTTTACCATTAAAAAAAAAAAAAAGAAAAAAAAGAAAAAAAAAAAACACTAGTTATTGCCCGTTTGTATTCCGCCGATACGAAATGACTTTTTTTTATCACCAATTTAAACTAGAATATATATTATTTTCAAAACAAATCAAATGGTTGACACGGATTCACTCAAGTAACCCGATACAAGCCCATTGGGTCAAAACTCAAAAGAACGGGGTTCATCCATGGATTCCATTCTATGATTATATCCTAACATCATCCGACGGCTCACAAAGCATCACCATCATCACAAAGACCTCCATCCTTCTCCTATAATAAGCCTCTTCACTTGGCTACATCAACAAGTAACCCTAGCTAAACACACAACCTTCATCAGGTCACACCCCCCTTCAACCCTCTCAAATCTAGGTTTTTTTTTCCTTCTAAATTTCAAATGTCAAGAAATCATAGATTTGTAGTTATCGTAGCCGACAATTTACAAAAATTTGGGGCGAAATAGTTGATATTCGTAAAACTCAATGGTAAATCGTCGCAAATCGAGCCGTCTCTGTGATCACAGCGGTTGAGCCGCCCTTCGCCGGGCGGTTCCCGTTAACCGGAGAAGGCGTTGTTACATCCTATCGCCTTGGGGAGCGGAGTCTCTGCAATTACCTCTTGGGATTGGCCGTGAGAAAGACATTCACTAATCGTTTAAATTCCATAGTTGAAATCGGCCTGTGATGAAATCTATTTAAAAGAACACCATCTTTCGGGACTGAATGGTCTTTCTCGAGATCTTGATGTCAATTCTGCAATTCTGAGGCCATTTTGCTGTGATATTTTTTTATTTAAAATGTTATAACAAATGGATATTGTATCTGAATTCGAATGTGGATTCAGGTACCAATAGTCATCATTAATCAATTCCTTTTGCTATCAGAATGATGAGTTTTTTCAAACAATATGAACACTTTCCTGGATTTCTGTCTTTCATAAAATGCATCGATGAAACTCTGAAATCTCAATTGATAGCTTGTCTGTTACCGATTATTTACAAAATGTTTGTGGCAAGATAGTTTATATTAGAATAGTATATCTTAAATATAATTGCTGAATTTTTAAACTAGATGTTTTCTTTTAAATTCTATTTATATGTTGCATACTTCCTACTTTTGGTAAATCCATCAATTATTGATAAATTCTACTACTTTTGTTATCTACTCGGTTTATGGTTTTTATGTGATTTGGTATAATCAGTAGTAATTTGTTTTTCTATGTGGTAGAAACATTTTAAAATTAAAATGTCTTTTTGGGCTATTAAAGGATCCACATGCTAATATTTTAGAGCACAATTCACAAAATCAAATTTATGCATGAACAAATTCGGTGTCGTTTTCCTCAAGCTTTTGTTATTTCACCATCGTATACATGTATATCAAAGTGGTTGTTTACATATTCATTTTTGATTAAATGTTTATTGCATAATAGCATTAAAAAGCATTCCCTTAAATCAAATACTTTATTTAAAACAAAGCCCACGACATATTCAATCTTTAAACAAATACTTTTACTTTAATGAATCAGAAATATTATGAATTTAAGTAGGCATGTTTACATGTATATATAACTATTAACATTTTAATAATATTTTTACTTGTTCACTTTGGGTTTACCGGCCTTGAAGGTTGTATCTTTGAAGATAGTTCTATTATCTTTTTTAGAATTTTGTAGCTTTGTTTGTGGGTAATGGTGCCATTAGAAATTTGAAGTGAATTACCTTAACAACATTAGGAATTGGATCATTTTTTTGTTATAATGTTAAATAACTGTAGATCACAAACATATCTTACTATCTTTTGTGCCATAAAAAGGTTGTTTTTCATTAAGAGTGGTTAGACATGAAAGACGATGAATTCCATGTTTGCTTGGTTTGAGGTCTATCTATAACTTCTAAGACCATCTTTAAGACCATCCATAATGGTGAATTCAATGAATGAGTTTAATGAGGTGAAATGTAGTTATAATTTCTAAGATAATCTTGTTGTGATGAAATTCTATGGCAATGAGATTTTACCTAGGTATTTAATAGATTTGGAATTTTTTAATGAAAAAAATAAAAGTTTTTTGATTTTAAAATATATATTATAAATCGAATTTGTAATTTTTATTGAAATTTATAGAGTTGTATGGGTTGTAAAAAAGTTATATGACAATTCATTGAATTTTAACACTGCCCCAAAGTTGAGTTGTTTAGTTTGGCATCTCGATGAATAAGGACGAAGACGCCCTATAAGAAATTAGCAGCAAAATTGGTCACATTTTTTTTTCCTATTCACTACTAATTCCACCGATGAACATCATTTCTACTATCTAATCGGTTGCTTGTGGAATAGTAAAAAATCTATATGACCTTTTCATACCTAAACCAGCCTTCTTTTTATACCTAAACATAAGGATACCCTACCTAATGTCACTATTGCATAAATTTCTAGAAAGGTTAATGAAACGGTAAAAACACAAATTACAAACCTAACCACCAAAATTGCAGATGGATTAGAACCATTTGCGACTTTGGCATTTGAACTGTGAAGATACAAATGTTTAAAGTAGGGTTGTGCATTGTGGGTTGTATCATGTATGTTTGCAGACGGCACTCGGTTTGTTACTATTTTTTTGTATACATAAAGGTAGTTCTCGTAGCTGATTTACAAAAATTTGGGGCGAAATAGTTGATAATCGTAAAACTCAATGGTAAATCGTTGCAAATCGAGCCGTCTCTGTGATCACAGCGGTTGAGCCGCCCTTCGCCAGGCGGTTCCTGTTAACCGGAGAAGGCGTTGTTACATCCTATCGCCTTGGGGAGCGGAGTCTCTGCAATTACCTCTTGGGATTGGCTGTGAGAAAGACATTCACTAATCGTTTAAATTCCATAATTGAAATCGGTCTGTGATGAAATCTATTTAAAAGAACACCATCTTTCGGGACTGAATGGTCTTTCTTGAGATTTTGATGTCAATTCTGCAATTCGGAGGCTATTTTGCTTTGATTTATATATATATATATATATATATATATATATATATATATATATATATATATATATTTTAAAATGCTATAACAAATTCGTATTGTATTTGTCTGCGAATGTGGATTCTAGTACTAATAATCATTGATTCCTTTTTTTTTTTTTTTTTTTTTTTTTATCAAAATGATGAGTTTTTTCGAACAATATGAAGACTGTCCTCGATTTCCATCTTTCATAAAAATGCATCGATGAAACTTTGAAATCTCAATCGATGTTTGTTTATTATCGATTTTTTACAAAACTTTTCTTGCGTATCTGTAATTACTGAATTCTGAAAGGGGATGATGATTTTAATTTCAATTTACATTTTGGAAACTTTATGGTAATTCCATCAATAGTTGATGATTTTTGTTGCCTTTGTGTCAATATCCACTCTGTTTTTGGTTCTTATGTGATTTAGAATAATCAGTGTCAATATGGTTTTCGATGTGGTAGTAACATTTTAACATGAAAATGTCTTTTTGGCCTATTAATTGTTAACATTTTTTAGTACAAAATCAAATTTCCAAGAAGTGATGTTTTAAACACGACCAAATCCCGTTTCGTATTCCTCAACCTTTTGTGATTTAACCATCCTATTACACGACCAAGTAGTGTTTATCAAAGCGATTGTTTCCTTATGCTTTTATGATTAAATGCTTAAGCGTTTGTTTGGATTTGAGTAAAAAACGAAAGAAAAATGCTATGATAATCTTAAGTACATTATTTTAAAGCAAAGCCATATATACAATCTTTAAACAGATACTTTTACTTTATTGAATGAGAAATAAGAAGTATTTATGTAAGCAAGTAAACCTTAACCTAAACAACATTGCGGAAGGGATCATTTTTTTTTTATCATCTCAACCATTATAGATCAGAAACATCTCTTTACCATCTTCATCTTTTATGCCATGAAAAAGAATGTTTATGATTTAAAGTGGTAGGACATGATGAGAGAAATATGATCAATTCCGTAAAGCTGTTTGGTTTGAGATTTATTTGTAATTTTTAGAGGGTGTTTGGTTTAGTTTTTGTGGGGCAAAAATCATTTTTGTAAAAAGATTTTTTATAAAAGTTGTTTTTTAAATTGTATTTGGATTAACTTTTAAAGGGAAAAAGTAAAAAGTTAAAATGTTTGGTTTAACTTTTACATAAATGATTAAAAAGGATATGTTTATATATTTACATTGATTTACTACTTTTCATATATTATTTTATACTTAATTTTTTTTCAAAACATATCATAATTTTATAAACATTTTATTAGAAAATATAAAATATAAATTTCTTTTAAAATATTTCTAATTTTTTGGATTAAACCATGACAATATTAAAATTACTATGTTTATATAAATTGTAAATAATTCATAAGATGATTTTTTGTATTAGACCATGACAATATTAAAATTACGTTCATACAAATATAAAACACAATTTACGTTCATACAAATTAAAATATTTATAATTTTTTGGATTAGACCATAACAATATTAAAATTACATTCATACAAATTCTAGATAATTCATAAAAAAATATCATAGATAATATTACATTCATCTTCGCAATGTGATTATATATTGTGCAATAATATCCTGTATCGCTGTCATATATAAATCATCATTGCTCGTGCGACGTGTATTTGGACATTCTTTGTAAACATCACTATCGGTATCACCTCGTAAGGAATTGTAGGATTCTTGTTGTGCACCATTAAACGCTTCATCGGACATACCGAATTTTCTGATGTAGTTATGGATCGCCATCGATGCTATCACAATTCTCACTTGGTTCTTGTACTTGTAATTAACATGCATGTCTCTTAATAACGCCCACCTACCTTTCCAATCTCCAAAAGTTCGTTCAATGATATTTCGCAATGGTGAGTGGAGATAGTTAAATTTGTCTTTCGATCCACGAGGTTCACGAATAGCAACCGTGTGTCCACGTCGAAAATCTGGTAAATGATAACGAATATTTGTGCCTTTATATGGAGCAAGATACCATCTCGTATTTGGATATCCGACATCAACAACGTAATATTTATTTGTAAATAAAACAAACATTTATTATTCGTTTCAAACAAGTAGTAAAAACATAAAACTTGTGTTCAAAAAAAAAAAAAAAAATACTAACCACCGGTTGGATAATGAAAATTAAGATCTAGTCTTTCTAAGGTTTCATTAAAAATTCTTGTATCATTTGCAGTCCCCTTCTAACCGGCCCAAACAAATGTAAAACACATGTTAAAATCACAAACAACCATTATATTTTGTGTTGCATATCCCTTTCGACCAATGTACTTCACTTCATCTTTTTTGTGGAATCGATGCCTTGACGTGTGTCCCATCTATAGTACCAATGCAATCCTTCAAATTCAAAAATATATCATAAATAAATAATTTGTTAAAGTTTGACTACCAAGAGAATAAACATTGGATAATACCTTGAACATTGGATAATACCGAGGCTTATTTAATATATATTCAGGAGCATCATCATTATAGTTTGCGTCTGGATTGATGATGTTGGCACTCAGTTTTAGCACGGCTTCCAAAACTATATGGAAATGCATGTGAATCGTTTCCCTCGAATGATTAAAAAATTCTTGCACAAATCTATTACTACACCCTTGAGCCAAAGTCATCAAGAATATTCTTAAAGACTCCTCAATAGATACTTTTCATGTTTGTTGTAGCCCGTAATTTGTAGCAAGATCTATGCATAACTGTCTAAAAACCGGTACGTTGAGTCTAGGATGCCCATTTAGTACTTTAATAATAAACATGTGCCCTGTGCGGTCTGAAGTGTGACATGACGTACGTAAGTTACGAGCGAGTATTATCCCTTGCAAAGCTAATCCACATAACATTTCAAATTCTCTATCCTCTTCCATTTCACATTCTTCTTTATCATTGGATGAATTAGAATCATCACTATCCATCCTACATAATACAAATAAAAAGATGTCAACCATTAACACATAACATAAAGACAAACAATAACACATAATATTAAAAAGTCAAATACATAATGTCAAAGGACAACACATAATGTCAAAACATAAAACTTAATGTCAAAGCATAACACATATTGTCAAAGGATAACACATAAATGTCAAAGCATAACACATATTGCTAAATCATTATTTCATAAGTAACTTAAGAAACTTTATATTTGCTTTGTCGGTCGTTGGAAACATAAAAGCTTCACGATTTTGCTTTTTGGTGAAGACAAGCAATGCTTGTGAAAATTCGTTGGACCCTTCATGAAAATCGGGGAACTTGATGACAATGGCCACGTAATCTGCTATTGTTAGGGACAAATTATTTTGTGGATAAGTTTGTGTGCTTTTTGATGATATGGCATCCAATAAAGTATCAACTTTTTCTTCATAAATTGAACTTTTACTCTTGGTTGGACGGTTGTTGGAAACAGACTTAGACCTCTTCCTTTTACTTGAACTACTTTCATGGAGACTAGTAAAAAGAGGCTCATCATCATCTAAATTGATTTCATCACTATCTCCTTTGCCCTCCATATTTTCTTTATTTAGATTACTATTGTTTTGAAATTGTAATGGAGTCATAGTCTGATCTCCAACTGCAACAGAATCCCGGAACAAAGTAGCATATTTCTAATCAAATATGCTTAAATCTGTGTTCCTAAATTTGGCATAATATTTATCCTCTTGCAAGACAAAAAGATATTGTATATCAAATATGTTCAATCTATATGCAATCATAATTTAAAATAATTAAAAAGAATAGTAATCATACCTTTATTTTCTCCTCTCACCACTCAGGGGACGCATCTACTAGGCTTCTCGTCCCACTAAGTCCGGTTTCAAGCCTCATTAAGCGGTCATAAAGTTTCCACTATTTTTTCATGTTCTCCTATTTGTTTGTTAGTTGTTTTTTTTCAAGGCTATAACCTGTTTTCTCCTTAATGCATTTTTTTATTTTTTCCCACCCAACTTTATCAAAGGAAGTACCAGGTTTATGGCCTTTTTTGTTCAATCAAGCACGAATCAACAAACACCATGAAGCTAGGATTATCCTACCCAAATTTTGGTTTTTTCATTTTTAAAGATGTTTCATAATCAACAATTATAGTGTTGTTTTCATCCATTATCTATGAATTACATATATTATCAACATTTAGGCAACAAACAAATTTCATTAACCTTCCTAAATGATTTCATTAATTTATCAAAATTCTAATCAAAATAGAAAAAATAGAATATGACAGCATATCATCAAGTTCACAAAATTGTTAGTTCATATTTCATCAAGTTCACATATTGTTAATTCACAACATATCATCATCTTCATATTTCACCAATTCACTAATTGTTAATTTGTATTTCATCAAGTTCACAGAATAATCACTATTTCACAACATACTAATTTTAGAAATCGGGAGGAACATCACTATTAGAGATGCAAGAAAATCAGAAATAGGCAGGAATATCAATTTCAGCATATCAATTTTAGAAAATCAGGAAATATTTCATCAATTTTAGAAAATCGGCAAATATTTCATCAATTTCAGAAATCGGGAAATATTTCATCAATTTCACAACATATCTTTTCTACTGAAAATCGGAAATAGACAGGAGATCGGAAATCGACTGAAAAAAAAAACAAACCTGATCGGAGATGGAGAAAGGCCGGTGTTGAAGGTCGCCGGATGATGTTGCAGGTCGAGATGCGATGCGAGAGAGAATAGTGAGTGAGCGGAGAGAACGAGAATGAGGGAATCGCTAATCTGTGAATGAATTAATTAGGGTAGATGGGGGTATACTGGTAATTTAATATTTTTAGCTGGTGAAAAGTTAGAAAAAGTCAGGTAATCGTGACTTTTAAAAAAACTCAAACTACTCTATTGGAAAAGTCATTTACAAAAGTCTTTTTCACTTACCAAACATCTTGTTGATTTTTTCTAAAAGATAAAATCAAAAGTCATTTTAAAAATTAAACCAAACACCCTCTTAATATCACTATTACACTATCAAACAAAGTTGCATAAAGTTCTAGAAAGGGTAATGAAACAGTTTTTGAAGATGTAGCCTTTGAATCTTTATGCAAACTCATCTTTTTGTATAGACCATGTTTATTTTTTCAATGCAAGTTTGCTATAAGCATTTTATATAAACACTTGACAATTGACCAATGTTGTTTCTCTTTTATTTTTGATTGTCAAAAAAACATATAAAAATTAGGTATGAACACTATTTCATCAAACATTTAATTGAAGTTAGAATGTCATTTTCATCAACAATAACATTGGATTTTAATTATTTAGAACACCATTTTAAGATTTCAGCAAATCATGTACATTTGTAAGATATTTTTTTCTTTTTGCCTTAGAAGAGCTTAGAAGACTTTCGAACCTTGACCCATATCTCTTTCAACAAGAATATGCACATACCATTTTTGGTCAGTAGTCTTCTAATTTTTTTTTATTTTTTATTTTTTTTTATTTTTTTTTTTAGGTTTGTGGTTTTCTAAAAAACAAGCAATATGCAGATTGAAATGTTTGCTCCAGGTAGACATAAGAGGTTTAGAAGCTTCTCTGGCATATATATATATATATATATATATATATATATATATATATATATATATATATATATATATATATATATATATATATATATATATATATATATATATATATATATATATATATATATATATATATATATACACCACCTCAGTAAATAACATGTTTCAAATTCTACAATTGACCCTATACATTTTACCATCATCGGAGGAGTTTGTAGACATTGGATGGACATGGTGAAATTGCATCTTTTTATATTAGGAAAATATAGTCATAATGTTTAAACCGTTGCTTGTTGCAAACGTCTCGCAACATGCAAATAGTTTTTCTTGAATGGTTGAATTATGTTAAAAAGTAACGAGGAAGCTACTAGAAATAGTAAATCAGCACAATTGAAAGCTAACATTATTATGTAAACACTACAATAATATTCGTAACATTTTCTTGGGTCTGCTCTCCAATAAAGATAACGTGATGAACAAAGAAAAATAAAACGAGATATAACAAAATCAGAACTACCAACATTAGCACCACAATGGGAATGTATAGGCCTTCCATAACCAATGGCAGCATGCAAACACTTTGATATATAACTTTTGTCAGAAAATTTGTAACATTTGAAAAAAAGTTATATCTCAAGATCCCATTTACGGATTCACGATATACATAGCCATTTTGAGATAATTGTTAAAAAAGAAATAAGGAATATTGTGATTTGACACCTTATATTTGATCATTTTTATGATTAATTCTTTATTTATTATATACTTTTGCTTTGTATTGACAGTAATCAGTACAGTTTAAGAACTTGTAGCATATGGTGGTAGGGAAGCTAATAATCATTTTTAGGGGTTAATTTTGGATTAATGATAGGTTTATTTACTCGGTTAATGTTTAGTTTCCTAGGCCTTGCTTTTAATCATTTGGATAGTGAAATCAGTGGGCCTTTTTTTATTTCTTTGATCATGTGATTTCATGAGGGAAAGGCATGATGCATTTTGAAGAAAATATTGATCCTCGGAAAGTGATAATGGTGTATGTATTAGTGGAAAGAAGTTGTTGCTTCAAAATGGACTTTTATATGGGCATTATGAATCTACATTCTACCGTCAAGAGAATCTAAACCATTAGATCTTTGATATTTTTATGATATCATTTGTAAATTTCCAAAACAAAATAATATATTATCACGAAACTTTGAATAATTTTAAAAAGATTATTGAATATTATTTGAGCTTGACACCACTTCCAAATGTTAGAAATGAAAATTAAAATGTGATGTATACGAAAACAATTTTCTTAAGAAAGCACTAATAGACCACTAACCACAAGATCTTGGATTTATACAATTAAAACCTCTGAGTTTTAATTTGTTAGAAGTGATCAATGATAATCATCAGGAAAATGATCAAAAAAGACATCATAATAATTTGTTTTTGCTCTCCTCATCCTAATAAATGATTGAAAATGATAATACCGTCAATTTTCTCGGACCAAGTAAGATTGGTAGCTAATATAGATATGTTACATAAATAAGGTATAAATCCTATGAGTTTTCATTTGTTAGAAGTGATCAATGATAATCATCATGAAAATGACCAAAAAAGACATCATAATAATTCGTTTTTGCTCTTCTCATCCTAATAAATGATTGAAAATGACAATACCGTCAATTTTCTCGGACTAGGTAAGATTGGTAGCTAATATATATATATATATATATATATATATATATATATATATATATATATATATATATATATATATATATATATATATATATATATATATATATATATATATATATATATGATACATAAATAAGGTATCCATATAGGTTGTTCGTCTGCATGATGTCACCCATTCAATCACATCTAATCGAATTTGATCCAGACAATAAGTGTTTAACTTACATTTGGTTAATTGCTTGGCGACGTTTTGGGGCAGAACTAAACTTCAATAACATTTCTCACCCATAATATGATAGGTAAATCGAAGTTGTCAATCGAACACTTAAAAAAAAGTTTTTGATGCTTACGTAAGCAGAAACCAAAAATATGGGATGTAACCCTAGTTCAAGCTAAATTAGCCTACAATAATGCCATTCATAGTTCAAAAGGAGCTTCACCTTTGTTGTGGTATACAAAACTTCCCTACCACAAGTTGTAGACTTCGTCGAATTTCCATGGAAGATTGACAACATAGATAACAAACTAATTGAAGACATAAAGAAAACTCATGAAGAGGTGCGAGCAAAGATTTCCCAAGCTAATGTAAAGTATAAGGTAACGACCAATACACATATGCGTTCAAAACTATTTTGAAGCAGGAGATAGGGTAATGGCACGCCTATATAAAAAGAGTTTTCGGGCAGGTACATTCAACCAGCTAAGTTAGCGGGAGAATGGTCCTTACAAGATTTTGCGGAAGATTAATGATTATGCTTATATCGCTGACTAGGTTTGAATATAATAACAAAAAAACTGAAACAAAACTGAAATAATCGATAAAACCGAACTATTTTTTAAACTGTTTGTCTTAGTTTTTTTTTGATAACCGAAATCTAATGTTTCTTTTTCGGTTTGATGGGGAAACCGACCCTATATTAACTGAACCGACTACAACATAAATAATATATAAATTATAAATTATAATGTGCATTTATTTGGTTTTTATGTGTTTTCTTGATTTTATTATAAAAATAGATTGTAAGGGTTGATATTGAAAATGGATAATCACTTAAAAGTGTAATACATTTTTTTAATTTGTACACATTTAGTCACTGAGTTTTTTTTATCCACATTTACCCCTTCAGCTTGTTAAATTGTACACATTTAGTTCTTATGATTGGCTACTTCAGGTTAGCCGGTAAAAATGACTCAACAGAGTAATATATTTCTCATTTTGTACACATTTAGTCTTTAATATTTTTGTACACATTTAGTCCTTAATATTTTAATTTTTGTTGCAAAATAAGTCAATTTTGCTTTTGTACTCATTTAGTACTTATGAATGATTTCTTTAGTTTTTTCTCACGATATCTTACGTGATACATTCATTAATGAGGCGTTTGATGCTTATGTCCATCGTGATCTTGACTACAACTTTCATTTAGATTGCTCCCGTTAAAATATAATATTTATACTTACGATCTTTATACCTATACGTTTTTTTTATGAATGCATGTAATAATGTTTTTTGTTTTTTTTAATAATAAAATCGTAAGTAAAAATACATTACGTTTTAATGGGAGTAATCTTAACAAAAGTTGTAGTAAACTAAAAAACGAACACATGGATATAAAGATCTTTAAAATCTGATATCATATGAAGAATTTATGAAATTCAAAATACAAGACCCAAGCCAAACCACAAGGCCTACGCAAGAAACACTCGAGATCGTGATAGACATAAGCATCAACAGCCTCAAACACCTCATCAATAATTGTCATATGTAAGATGTTGTGAGAAAACCTAAAAAAATCATTCATACGTATTGAATGAGTACAAAAACAAAAATGACTTATTTTGAAACAAAAAAATATTAAGTGCTAAATATGTTCAAAAATATTAAGTATTAAATGTGTACAAAATGAGAAATATATTACCATATTAAGTTATTTTTTCCGGTTAACCTGGAGTACCGGTCATAAGGACTGAATGTGTACAATTTAACAAGTTGAAGGAGGTAAATACGGAAGAAAAAAAAACTCAATGACAAATTGTGTACAAATCAAAAAATATATTACCGTTTTAAGTCATTATCCTTATTGAAAACTAATTATTAATTTTAGAAACAGCAAAACAAAAAACAAATACATCATCGTGCCAAAACGCAGTGCACAATATCGGATCTTTTGACAGGTAGCCAAATGCAATTTTCCCACTTATCATCATTAAATTCCTCCACTTATGGTCTTAACTTTAATTCCCCCTAATCTTGGAACTCTTACTTTTTATTTTTATTTTCATTTGTTATGTTTTTTTTATGACATTACTATAATTTCTGTTTTTTCTTTGTTTATTTCGAAGTTAATTGGAGAAAATTGATGTCCACAGAGTGGCTCGCCAACTTCATCATCACCATCGTTAAGACCTTGCTACCATTTCTTACATATGTGCTAAGCACCTGCATTAAGATTGGCTCGCAAGTTGCTTGGCGAGATGAAGGAGAAGAATGAGAGTAACACTGGTGGTCCCTGGTCCCTATTTGACCATTTGACTATTTCTGTTTCAAATACTTGTAACTTGTACCATATAATTAACTTCAGCTTTAGCAACTTGTATCATTTTATAGTTTATTTCATTTAAATATTTAAATAAAAATTTATTTGATTTAAGCAAAAAAGTGTGTACCTTCTAAACACATCACTACTCTATATCATAATATTATACTTAGATGTCTATAAAAATATGACGTGTCAATGTTTTAACACATGCTACTAAATGCTACCACTCCCACTTAAGGTTTCTTCATAGACATCTTGAAAATCATAAATACATTTCATTTTGGTTTTCTTGAACAATTGTATTGTTCTTTCTTCCATTGTGTGTTATTTCTAGAATGTTCTTAATTTATGTAGAAGATTTTCATAATTTTACTTTGATCTTTACACATGACACTTAAACTTGACGGGTCATGACTCAGTAACAAAATACAATCTAAACTTGATTTTTAAAAAAGAACAGAACATATATTACTAAACTTTCAAAAAACGTCAAAACACAATCTTTTTAGCTCACCCCGGCTTACATACACCCCCAATAGGAGCCCACTAACGACCTTTAGACCATACCCCTATTTTCTACACATTATCAAGTCATGCAACTTCTACATACACTATTAAATTCTTTTATTAATAAAGAAGAATATTTTAACCAAAGAAAGGGTTGGGATTGCTTATCTCTTTATCATCCTTTTTCAACAACTAAAACAAACCCTTTATCAAGATTATTCTATCACACATATAATATAACTAAACAAACCTTTTTTCAAGATTATTTTATCACACAAATAATATGTCCAAGCGTAAGCATATAGCAAAATCAATGGGAGATATATCATATCACACTACTAACTTGCTTTTAGTGTACCCATTGGTAGGTATACGTCACATTGGTTTACAAGTCATAATCGTGACATTCTAATGACTTGTCATGTATTACTATAAGATTTTTACTTTTTATATTTATTTTAAATGCTTATGAAACCATGGACCATATATGGTGGTTCTAGGTGGATAGTGTTGACCAATTTGGCCGGCACCGCCTGGTTTCAGATAGATAGATACCAGTCAACAAAACATTCAAGTCCCCAAGAAGCTCACACATGGGTTTGTCTTCAAATCTTCATGTTGACCTTTTTCTGGTCAACACTTTACTTTGTTTTGTGTTCTTACGAATGTCCTCCTCATGCCAAACAACACCAGAATAAGGCTGTACCCTTCTCTTTAGACCCTTCTTTTGTCCCCAAACACTTTTGTTAACCAAGAACGAAACATTATAAAAAAATAAAAAATGTTTTACAGGCGAATTCTGAAATAATAACAATATTTTAGATATGTCAGTGTTTTAAACCCTACTTATTATATAGAATACCACTCCTTAGCCACTAGACTCTCAGGAACAAAAGATGTGGAATACCAATATTTTACTTATATGTTTTTCTTCTATTTTCTTCACACCCTTTCATGTTAAAATTGATGAGTATTGTGAAATTTGTTTTTTAATGTAAGGGTAAAATGATTATTTATCTCGTTCAATACAAATAGAATTGAAGTATCATAGCTCAAAATATAGATCAATATATAATCATTGATTCATTAAAAAACTTGTCTCGGTTACATTTCGTTCTAACTTACCGAAAGTTATAAAAAGGAGACATTTGATCACTTCCAAGCACAAGAAGCGACTAAATCTCGGTTCATCCATCCAAGATACAAAGCTCCATCTCTTTCTTCAAGTCTATATCTCTCACTATAATTCTTTAACAACCGTTTGATCGTTTGGTTCACCAAGGGGCTCATCGGGCTCGGGCTAAACCCTGCCATACCGAATCGCAACTTCCACTTCCCCAAAAGCTCATGCCTTTCAACACGTTCACCCCCCTCACACGCTATAATGTTTACAACATCACGGGCCAAACAATGTTGCTCGATATTTATCCTTTCCTTGTGATGACGTGGCAACGTGATGTCAATCGACTCAAACATCGCGTTATAATAATCGAGAGCTTCAAGAAACCGAGGATAAAACGGGGCAGTATTTGTGTTAGATTCTTGCTCGACTAGGGTTACAACCTTTGGCTTCATACTCTTTACAAGCCTCAACACCCGGTCTCTATGATTCCGGATACTCACACTCTCGTCCGGCATTTGATGTAAAACAAAAGCGAAATTTACTGCTAGTGATTCACCTGGTCGGGCCTGAAAATTTTCAGGCCCGGATTCAGTATGAAACTCAAAAGGCACATTGTAGGCTTTTGCAAGCCTACATAGCCTTTTGCCAACGGGACCCAATTCACTTGTAAAGTTGTGGAATCCCGTGATCCGGATATGCGGGGGACCGCCAGGTCTCTTTGCAAATGCCTGGATCAGTGGGACCCATTGGGTCCCGTGTGCGATGTGGAAGTCGATGATGTGGACGCGTTTTTCGTTTTTCATCGCTTCTGCTATTGCACCGTTTGCTGACATGTACCCGAATTTGAAGTACGGGCAGATTTCGTATAGAGTGTGTGTGTTTAATGGAGGATCTGACCGGTAGATTGTGCTGCCCGAGGAAGAAAGTCTAGCTACTAGTCCTTCCAACATGTATGCACCCAGCCTCTGGATTGGTTCTCCGGCGACTGACACCATTTGCCGGAGCTCCGATATCAACAATTGGGCTTTTGAGAAATCGTTATTGGAAACGGATTTAGCACAAGCAATGAGGACTTGTTTCAGGTCTCGTCTTGGAAAACCCACCATCATCTCTTTCCAAATTTCTAAATCCGGCAAGTCTACTACACCGCCGGCGAATGATCTCCCGTTTCCGGCATCATCTTCGAAATCTGAATCTCCGAGCATTACAGTCTCTAACTGGCGCAATTTATACCTGAAATTGTTTACATCAGGGGAATGAGGTTCGTTCTGCGAGGAAGAGAGAGTGGAGGGCGAGTAGTACATGGTGGTGCAACTGCCGTTAGCGGAGGAGGATTCGAGGGTGCAGTAGGGTTCCGATTTGGCCAAGTAATTGGTCCCACGGCTGAGATCATTTAAACACTGAGCTTGGGGCTTATAAAACGAATCGAATTCTTGCATCGATTGACAGTAAAAAGCGTTGGATATAGCGGATCTATTGTAATCAGATGCTTGCATTGCAAAATTCGTTATAAAACCCAGTTGCAGAAAGCTTCAATCTTCAATATGCACAAAACCCAGGTTGAAATTGCTCAATAAAATTAGGTAATCTACAGTAAATCATTACAAACAAGGTCAATCAACGAATAAAATTTCAAGAAAACTTACCCAAGTCGTGATTTGGGCATGGGAACCGTATAATCTTCAATCAAACAATTGACCCACCTTTCCAGACACCATTAAAGTTGAATTCCGAGGTCGGAGCTGTGTAAACAGGGGAGTTATCGAGGAAGAAGAGTGAAGAAAAACGAGACATTTAGAGTGTCAGAAGTCAGAAGCAGCAATTATGGAGGATGAAACCAATTATATGAAGGTGAATCGATGATTGACAGATGAAGGAATCTAACATGGCTCTGAATTACACTCAAACCGCAGTTTAGGGAGAAAGGGGGCAAAGGAGATAGGTACTTTGAGCAGGAAAGAGAAGTAGCAAACTATCGTATGTTTATAAAAAGAAGAGTTCATGATAGTCCTCCATTTATCACTTTTTAAAGAAAAAAAATTCTCTCTCAAAATCAATGCCCAAACACCTATATTTTGTTTTTTTTGTTTTTTCTGCTGTCAAAGAAATAGATTGTTGTTTTCTCACGTTGCTAAATACCAAAATAATATTGTTTGGCACTAAGTGAGGACATGCTAGACATTGATACTCTTCTTTTTCTTATATTAACATAAAAGGTACAATCTTTGTCTTGTTTGGATAACATCTTAGATCTATGATACATTGTGAGCACTTAAGTGTTAAAAATTCTAAAATGTAAAATAGGAATCATAACCGATTTCAATTACAAAACTGGAATCGGAATTGATTCCATTCAGTTCCTAACTTTAGAATTAGGAGCCTAAACAAATAGCATTGGTTTCGGTTTTGAAACTGGTAGGTATAACTGTATAGCTTAAGTTCCAAGTATATAGTTGTGATTCTCACCCATGTATCTATCGTTTAGAAAACATGTATTTCACTATCCCTCAACTCACAAAGAAATATATCAATGAAAATTTCTAATATGTGCCCTGAAGACACATACAAAAAACATTAAATATCACAAGTATTATCATAATTAAATATGAAAATCCGTATATCAATTGATAGGGTGGGGACATGCTTCATGATCGATGACATAATCCCGAAAAAAGTTAGCGTGTATGATCATTTTTGTTATATGAATATTTTGTATTTTGATAAAGATAGTTATCATATATATGCATACATGTTCGTTACTTTTCTCATCCACACAATTATTAATGGTTATAGGTACTTTATGAATCTATAATACATCATAATGCACAAAGGTACACATGCTGACATGCATGGCATATAATATGATTGCCTTTTATTAGTTACTCTTTTATTAAAATAAAAAAACTAGAAGTAGTTGCATTATATATGTATATAATGAGGGCAACAAACATCATCATTTTAAAACATTTCTTTACATTTGTATATTTGCGACTGTGAAAGGCAAAATAAGGTGCGTTTTGCTCTAATTTAACACATACAATATATATAATATAATGTATATATTTACACTGAAAGTTTTTTCGGAGTTTCATTATTACATGTACGATATTATGTTCATGGTGTATGTATTTATGAAGCATGTGTATGGGTAAGAAATGCATGCATATTTAGAAAAACTTTTAGTTTATAGTGTCCTGTTAACATATAAGAATATATCTTTTGTATATCTATATCTAAATATTTCTTATTGCAAATAAATTTAAAATAACATATTTATGGATAATATGAACATAAAATTAAAAAAAAAATAGATATGTAATCAAACAATATCACTTTAATTTGCCGTCACCAAATGTGTCCCTTTTCCCTTAGTGGACCATTTTAGAACACAACTTGTCATCACTTAACACTTATTCACTTTCAACTTTCAAGTGAACCCCCCCTTTCTATTTTATTCCATCTTCAAAATTTTCTCTATCTTTAGTTTACTACACTTTACAATAATTTAATGCCTTTAGCTATTCAGGCAAAAAATAACATAGGTAGGACATTAGGACGTATCGCTCAACAAAAATATATTTACTACACTTTTTTGCTATTTTCGTTATGTCATTTGAAGGCTTTTAGTGAAATCTCATGTAACCGGTTTTAGCCGAAAATATACCAATAATTTCATAATCTTAACGCACTCCGAATCTTAAACTTTAAGAACGAGAGCTTAAAGACTGGATTACAATTTTTTGTAACCGGTTTTAGCCGAAAATATACCAATAATTTCATAATCTTAACGCACTCCGAATCTTAAACTTTAACAACGAGAGCTTAAAGACTGGATTACAATTTTTCGGAATAAAACTCAGGTCTTGAAATTTCATCACCAACCTAGCTACATCCACCTCAATAGTTTACCCTCATAATTAATCATATAATTCTTCTTTAGCTAAATTAAAAAGTGGCATGAATCAAAACTATGGATCATGATGTTCATAAATATCTTCCTATTAGTTAAATTGCAAGTATCATAAAAAGGTATGATATTGTGATAGTCTTTGTGCCTTCTTATGCAACTACCACTTCGGGGTGGATCTGGTCACGTTTGTACTTATTTGTATATGGATTTTATGATCCTATTTTCAATACAATCGATTGAATTTAAAACAAGAAATAAAATTTATTGATTACTTGTTAGTTTATTTTATAAACACGGTTTTATAAGTGATTATATATGTTGGAGCCTTCTATCTCTCTATAAATACTGTTTGGAAAAATAATATTGGGGGCACATATGTAACACCGTCAATTTTCAAAAAAAAATTTCATTTTTTTAAAAATCAAATAATTCTCATAATCATAGTTCACAAATCACCAAAATGACAATTTATCAAAAACACATGTTCATAAATTGTTTAAACACAATCCAGGATCCTCAAAACATAACTCCGCCTCGTGTGTACAATCAAATAATTATCATAATCATAGTTCACAAATCACCAAAATGACAATTTATCAAAAACATATGCTCATAAATTGTTTAAACACAATCCAGGATCCTCAAAACATAACTTCGCCTTGTGTGTACAATCAAGCCGATGCCTTCCCATGATCCTGAGAAGTACACGAAATACATAACACATAACACGGTAAGCACAAAGCTTAGCGAGTTACCCAAAATACCATACACATCTCATTAGCCTCTCATGGCCATACTGAAATAAGACCCTCTGGTCAATGTGTCTCAGTGGAACCCTCCGGTCCCACAACTCGGGTGGACCCTCTGGTCCTAACTCAGTAAGCTCAGAATAATACACAACATAAATCACAAATACATAATGCAGGATATCACACTACTCAATATAAGCACGTAAGACCCTCCGGTCACACAAATATTACCACTCTAGGTAAGTATAGTGAGAAGACTCACCTCGTAAGCAAGCAAATAAACCTTGTACACGAATCACCGATCTAGCCTCCGCCTAACACATATGATAATTATCTCTAATTAACACTCCATTCACAACTCTAAATGACCAATGGCTATTCTCTTTCTCCCTAGCTCCTGGAATGTATAAAAGACCATTCTACCCCTCCATGGTCTCCGTATAACCTATCTTGACCAAACCCTACAGTCAACTAAAGTCAAGACTCAAGTAAACAGTCCATGTTGACCCGACTCGTCAAGTGCATCTATGTGACTCGTGGAGTCCCCTTATTCCTTTACAAAACTCGTGAAAACCCAACTTAACTCGTCGAGTTATCTCATCAACTCGCCGAGTTACTCATGTCCAGACTCATCGGGGAAAACTCTAGTCGACTCGTCGAGTTGGCTCATCAACTCAGCGAGTCCCTTAAGTCCTATTTCTCATTCAGACGTTTTAAGGCATATTTACAATCCCAAACTTCAGATCTAGCCTCCCAAAGATGAAATACAACGTAAATCTACAATCTTTACATCCATGCGTGGCACTTAGGGCTTGAAATGCCAAAACAAACTCCATTTAGGGTCTTAAGCATAAAAGATACTCCGTAGCTAAATAAATCTTGGACCTGGGAGTCGAGATGTTACAATTCCCCCCCTCCCACTAGAATCAGACTTCGCCCTCGAAGTTATGCTTCGAAAACAACTCTAGGTACTGCTCGCCCATCTCAGACTCTGGCTCCCAAGTCCACTCGGATCCCCTATGGTGCTCCCACTACACCTTAACCAGTCGCACCTCCTTTTTCCTCAAGGTCTTAACTTTACTATCTAAAATTGCTATCAGTTTCTCAATGTAATTGAGGATAGCATCAACTTGAATGTCCTCTAAGGGTACCACCTCCATCTCATCGACTACACACTTCCTCATCTGAGACACGTGGAAGGTGTTGTGAATCTGGCTCAACTCTGCAGGTAGCTCCAATCGATAAGCTACCTTCCTCACTCTGGTAGTTACTCTGAAAGGACTGATATATCTGGGACCCAACTTTCCCCTCTTCCTGAATCGGATCACCCCTTCTACGGGGATACCTTCAGGAGGCCAAAATCTCCAACCTGGAACTCAAGCTCAGATCTCCGCCGATCTGCGTAACTTTTCTGGCGACTCTGAGCTGTCAGTAACCTCTGTCTAACCTGCCGAATCTGCTCAGTCATCATGAGCACTATCTCGGTGCTACCCATCACTCTTTGCCCTACGTCTCCCCAACAAATGGGTGTCCGACACCTCCTCCTATATAAGAGCTCAGAGGGAGGCATACCAATACTGGAATGGTGGATGTTGTTATAAGAAAACTTAGCCAAGGGCAAATAGGTATCCCAACTCCCTCCGAAGTCCATAACATATGCTCACAGCATGTCCTCAAGCGTCTGAATCGTCCGCTCACTCCGCCTGTCAGTCTGTGGGTGGTATGAGGTACTAAAGTGAAATCGGGTACCCAAATCCTCATGAAACCTCTTCCAAAATCTGGAAGTAAAACACACATCCCGATTTGACACTGTCAATGTCGGCACTCCATGCCGTGCCACCACCTCTCTCATATAAATCTAGGCCAATCTCTCTGCAGAAGAGCTCTCACTGATAGCAAGGAAGTGAGCACTCTTCGTCAACTGGTCCACAATTACCCATATTGTGTCGACACCTCGCGCGGTTCTTGGTAATTTGGTGATAAAATCCATGGAAATATGCTCCCACTTCCATTGGGGAATCTCTAGAGAATATCGTTCTATGTACCTAAATATATTTCAAAATAAGCACAACAAATCTCAAAATAATATAAATAAGGAAATACGTACCGGTCATGACATCAGATGCTGCGCAGACCTCCTCTTATGTCATCTAAAAAGCTCTCCTACGAGCCCTCGGAGCCTCAGCCTTCACCGGCCGACTATCAGTAGCACGCAAAGCAACAAGAGTGGAACCCTAGGCTGATCCCTGAACAATCTGAGGGAACTCGGACTTCCGATGGCCGGTCTGGTTGTAGTGAAAACAAACTGGAAACCCAATGGGGTAATCCTTCGCCATGTGCCCCTCTTTGCCACATTTGTAGCAATTCCATGCCCGACATGATCCCTCGTGACTTTCGCCGCACTTGCCACAAGTACGGCCCTTCTGGCTCCTAGCTCCCGCATCATCGGGCTTTGCCCGCTTTGTTGCCGACTGCGACTAAATCGGTCTCCGGTCCTTCCCCTGGGACTCTCCCTCTTCCCTGACCTGTAACTCTAGCTCAATCTCCCTCTTTCGGGCATTGGTTTGCACCTCGGCC